GAGCTGTCCTTGGTGTTTACACCGAATCTGTCTCTTATACACATCTAGATGTGTATACACACATACGCACATACACACATACATACATCTAATAGCTAAAGTGTTCTAAAGTGTTCTGAACCCCATCTTATCGGACGGAGACACCTCCTCCCAAACCTAGCCTCCGCAGGCACTTGGAGGCACTTTACACATATACATAGCCCTCCACCCCCTTTCCAAAACTTCTGGATTGTTGTATTTAGGTACACCATGGCTGTTAATTGTGATTGTTACAGCATGCACGCAAAGATCATACGCGGCGGATAACCTACGCGGTGGATACCCTACGCGGCGCTATTTACACGATCTTTTGTTACTTTTTCGCCAGTGACGTCATGGTAAAAATCGTATATAATCGCCTATAACTTCATAAAAAAAATAGCCAATAAACGTTTTTAATGTTGATTCTATTATTAATGGCATATCAAAAATCCACTCTAGAACAAAAAATCATTTTGTTAGTTCCCTTTTAATACTGCCCTCATCGGAGCTTTCCCAGTTACGAGAACTTGATTACCATACACTCTTTGGTATACAGTACCTGTTTAATTTCATGAAGTCACGGAATGAAATAACTTTTAAGAGATCTACGGAATGAACTTAGATTTTCAATAGGGTATTTCTAATAATTATCGGGTACTGTACTGTAGTCTATTCTATTCAGGGAGTTGTTTGATTATTCGGGGTGGTTTGTATGCATGGGAGCGCGCGTGCGTTTGCGTGTGCGTGATTGCGGATTCTCGCGCGATCGTAAGACAAAATGAATATCCGATACCAAGAAATTATTATAAACGCGAGAAATTTTATTGAAATTAACCATCATATTATTGGATCACAGTAGAGTTTAGGTGTAGTAGGCCGGCCGTGCCTAGGGTATGCCAAACCTACGGGGAAGGTTTTTCAGGCGTAAAGCCGTTGGCCTAGATAGGCCAGTACAAATGGCCAGAATTAAGGTACCGTATTTAGGCCTAGGCCCTAGCCTACAACAGGCTACAGATTATATTTACAATAATGTCTAGGCCCCTATAATATTAATATATAATATAGCCTAGGCTAGTAATAATAATAATAATATTTTTACTAGGCCCTAACTAGGCCTAGGCTAGGCTAGCTTAACTTATGGCCAGGCCATGGCCTAGGTAGCCTAATTATTGATTTGCAACCGATCTGGCCTAAAGAAGGAGGCTGCGCTATATACTATAGCCTGCCTATAGGGCTAGGTGTAGGTCAAGCTTGGGTAAGCATAAAAGGGGCTATTCCAACCCCTGAAAGTTGGCTCGATTTCACTTGCTTGCACTCGATATGCTTCAGTTGTCTTTTATTTTCAAGCTGGGCTCGGGAGAAATAAAAATGTTTGTAATGGTTTTCCAAATAGGCTAGGCGAATTTTTTTGCGCAAATCAAAGCGTTGGTTCACTTGAACTCTGCATTTTTTCGCTTCGAAAAACTCCGATAGGAATAAGAATGCACATCAACCAATGCTTTCGATTCGCGCGAATAAATTCTCTTAGTGGAAGCATATGCCTTCGCCTATGTTGTTTTGGCCTATAATTGATTTTTCTTGGAAAGACACAAATTTATTTGACGAAACTCAGGAGCAGTTAATGAGATACAGATTTTTGAATATTTAAAAACTGGGAGGAAAAGGTGGAAAAAGGGTGGTTACGCCCCTTTCCCCCAGTTTTTAAATGTTGAAAAGTCTGTATCTCAAACTGCTCTTGAGTTTTTTGTCAAATTATTTTTGTGTCAGAAAAATCAGTTGTACAACATATCAAAAATTGTTTTTCTTCCGATACCTGGCTTTAAGCTTTTAGGTAAAACTGTACTGAACTATTAGAAATCGTTGTTTCTCTGCATATGGGGTACTGAATTAATTGTGAGTTAATTTCAAATCTGGATTTTTAATTTAATTAAGTTTTTAGTTTAGTTAAGTTAATTTGAAATCAATTATACTTTTTAATGTTTCTCTTTTGCTTTGAGCAAGGGCAGCTTTCTGTTTGGGTTTGTGGCTATTCCTTGCTCCTGGCAAGATTGTACTTTCACTTTGCTGAATAAATATTATTATTTTATTATTATTATTATTTTTATAAATTAAAATCATTATAAAAATTAGGCCGAAACTTAATTTTTTATCCTTTTTGCTCAATTTTAAACCCTTTCAATTACAGTTTTTTTATATTTTTCACACTTTTTACTTAACACATTTATTTATTTATTATTTATTAAAAATTCGACAAAACTGTCCCAAGAGGAAACCATGGGCTGAGGGCCCAACACAAAAGTGGAAACCTCTTGACATAAAGTATAATACAGAGCACATTAAAAACGGAACAACAAGGTAAACATTTAACATACATTAAAAATTAAAGTTAAAAAAATAAAATAAAATAATAAAGTCATCTCATATCGTTTAAATCGTTAAAAAATGTGCTCTTATTAATTTTTTTTAACTTTTTTTTTTCTCAGGCATAAAGCTACTCAGGCTGTCAGGAATACAGTTCCAGAGCCTGCTGCTTCAACATAATAGAATTTTGAAAAAAGAGTTGTTTGAGTGGGCACTCTTTATAAACTTAGTATTATCACTGGTGTTGATGGTAATAAAAAATTGTCATGCCAACTGGAAATCCCCCCCCCAAAAAAATAACGTGAAGCAAACAACCCTCTGGAAATTTTTCTCCTAACAGCCAGAGGATAAATGGTACTGTACATGTTAAGCCGATCGATTCTTGTATTTTATTCTGGAATTAAGATGTTTTTACTTGTTTACATTCTTTTTATGTTGGATCGGATGGGTTACCCTTGTGTTGAATAAAGAAATAAATACTCTCTGGATCACAAAAAGACCTAGTTAGCACAATATGCAAAGGATTTTGAATGATAGTTTTAATGTTAGAAAGTAATTGGATCAACATAGGCTGAACAAGGACACATTTTGAGTTACACACTTTTTAAAGAACATTTAATTCATTCTAAGGGGATACAATCTTCATTTTGCTTGGTTCCTTTATGGCAAGCCAAATGGTCATCACAAATAGAGATATTTATTACTTAACTAAGATCTTACTTTTTAACTAAAATATCTTTGTTTTAACTAATATATATATCTCTTATTAACCGAGATATTAGTTTGAAACTAAGATATCTATTTAAAACTAAGATGAATCTCTATTTGAAAGGTTTCTATTTTATCAAAACTAAGATATCTTTATTTGAATCTAAGATCTCTAATCAGGGACACATTTTTAAGTTACGCACCTCAGCTGGTAAATAACGTTTACTGGTAATTCATTCTAAGGGGATACGTTCTTCAATTTGCTTGGTTCCATTATGATGACCCGAATTGCCATTTAATCACAAATAGAGATTATTACTAAGATCTTAGTCTTTAACTGAAATATCTTGGTATTAACTAATACATCTAATGTGAGATATATTAGCTTAAAAAGATCTCTATTTAAAACTAAGGTTTCTATTTAAAACTAAGGTGTCTTTATTTGACATCTCTAATTGAAACTATTAAATCTCTCTCCCTCTCTCTTTAACTAAGATACCTTAGTATTTAACTAAGATACCTTAGTCTTTAACTAAGATATCTTAGTTTTTAACAAGATACTTTAGTTATAAATATATATAATTTATATAGAGAGAGCAGCTTAGCTCAGTCGGCTATCTGGTGGTAGCCACTGTGTGCGCTGAACCGTGGAGATCTCTAGGTCCCCAGTTCAATTTCCATCGCTGCCTCTCCTTGTGTTTCAGCTAGAGGGCTGAAATACAAGTTACAATAGCGCACCGTCTTTCGGATGAGACGATTAAGCCGTTGGTCCTGTGTGCATTTATGGCTCATGTGCACTTTAAAGAACACAGTACACTCTTCGGAAAAGAGTAGGGGATTGTCTCCCGGTGTACTGTCCAATCACCACCAGAAGGACCCCACTGGAAATAAGTCGTCTTCTAGATTTCAGGGAGCTGTCCTTGGTGTTTACACCGAATAAATCCAATCCATAGATATAGATTTAAGTAGATCTGAATTTATAGCTAAGATTTCTCTATTTGATTACTATTAATGACAATTCGGTTCTCCATGTTCCTTGTAGTTATGGAGGACGTCATGATAACTGTGGTATTCCAGGTATGTATGTATGTACATTGCATTAAAAGTTGTGTTTATTCGATTTTCGACTATCCAAGATGCTGTATATCATCTTACAACTTCTGCATGTAACCAGGCTATGTTTAGGTAAGTTTTAATTTTTTTTATTTCTAGTCGTTTAATACCATTACCAGGGAGTTGTTAAAGTGACTATGACAACTCCGAGACTATAACAATTCCCTGATCATACATAAAAAGCATAATCAGACCATGGAGGTATTATTGAGAAGGAGATCACTAGAAAAGCTCCGTGAATGCAGCGCTATGGAAAAACTGAACATGATGAAATGGAGAGCACCTTCTTTTCTCAATGTACACTACTTGCATTACAGTCAATCACTATGGCTGTGCAATCGTTTCCACCTTATAACTAATACATTTATCTTCCATGATATACAAAACATATTAAAATTTCTACAAAAAAGACTTGAATTTAATGAAACATTTACAGTACATGAGATTTAAAAGTATGGTATATTTCAACTTGAATTGCCATAATTGGATAAAACTCGATAATTCTAATTTTAACAGATATTAATTAAGGAATGATTGATGATTATAATAGACTAAGTCATTTTAGTGTGAACGAGTGTGGAAATATTTTTGTGGAATCTGTTCCTGAAATATACACATAATAACATACTGAAAGTCTGAATCAAATCAGGGGAACATTGTTAATTTTAAAGATATTTAATGAGTTAATGAATCAAACAGTTTATTGCACAACTGCCATGTTGAAGCTTATAAAAGCATGTTGTTGCCAAGTTGTTGCTAATGAAAAAAATGTTAATAATAAGATAATACGCACGCATGCGATCCAAAAGCGGGGAACACATTATTTTGTCACGTCAAAGGGATCTGTTGACGAGTGATATCCTTCTGATCAATTATACCTCCATGATCAGACCAAAAAATCAAGACTTTTTCTTTAGAATTTATGAAACTAGTTAGCAGCCAGGTGCAGATTTTTGTGAATGGGGGTATTAAATAAGGTAATTTCTCCTGGAAAATACTGTTTTGCTATTGGTGTTGTTAATGTTACTTATCTTCGAAAAATAGAATAGAATTGTCTTCTACCTGTATTCTTTCTTTTATTAGGAAGCCAAGGCTATATTACACTTTTGAATGTTAAACCCATCGAAGCAGAAAGTAACTTTGGATTTCAATGCTTTACACCTCTGATGGTTCCTGGAGAAGACGTGTTGAGTTATGGTAGATCGTACAAAATTGACAGTACTGACAGCCTTGTAGATACACCTTGGCCTGTTACAGCCACGCAAACTAGATATATTACAACAAATCCACCTGTAGCTGATAGTGGGAATGTCGGAGTGTACTACTGCAAGTTTGTTAATGATGGCGTGACTACCATCGCTCAAACAACAAAAATAGACAGTAACGGTATGAATCATTCACACATGGTCATGCCTCAATCATGACTAACCTAGTATTGTCCTGTTTCAGAGATAATGGCGAAAACATACTGTAATGTCAAAATGTTTTAAATCTATTTTATTGCACTAAACTAACCTTTTGTACCTATATGTCATGCTATGCTGTTGTTTCCCCAATTTTCAATGTTAAAACAGCAATTTTTAACGATTTGGTGATGGTTTCTGCCTGAGAAATGCCCGAAATCATAAAATTTGGAGGCTGATTTCTCAAATACTCTGTTCTTTAAACAGCTGTATGTTTAAACTCCTGTAACTTCATAAAATGTCGGATTTAAATGATTCTTTTACCATTTTTAAAACCATCCTTACAAAGCACATGCCCTGAAAAACTCATCTGCTTAGTTCGTATTTTGCACAACAGTTTCCTGTTTACTGCAGCTTTTTCCAACACCTCTTCATTTCTCATTTTAGCTGTCTTGGAATTCTCATTATTTTGCCTAAGAACCACAGCTCACATGTCTCTAAACGCTTTCTCAAGTCAGATGTTATCGACCAAGCCTCACTTCCGTACATTGACACAGGATAAACGTAACAGTTCAGGACATGTAGCCTGTCCGCTATGCTTAATATGCCATTTCTTAAGTAAGATGTTATCCAGTTTTGAGAATGCAGATTTTGCAAGTATGATTCTTATTTTGATTTCTTTCACGTATCTGGCATTCTCTGTGCAAGTGGAAAGAAGAAACTTTGATTGGTTGGTTTATCACTTTCAATGTACACCTTGGGCTTTCCTTCTTTGAAATAACCACACATTCAGTCTTCTTACAATTTATAGAATCCCTTCCTCTCACTCTCTCTGACCACCAAGTCCTTTGAAGATCCTCCGCCGACTCCGCTAATAGAACTGTATCATCTGCGTGTACCTAATGTTTGTGATATTGTGTCAACCCACCTTTACTCTTTCTATATTTTCCATTTTTCTGAGTACCGTACTCGCGCAAATAAGTGCCCCTCTTGAAAAAGTGCCCCTCTTGAATTAGCAGCCCGTTTGAATAAGCGACCCCTCAAAAAGAGCCAGAAATATTTTAAACGCCCTGGCGCTTACTTGCGCGAGTGCAGTATTCACTGTAATAGTTGAAGAGATCTGGAGACAACACACATCCTTGTCTGACTCCTCTTTCAATATTTGTGTATAGTACTCACTACTCACTCCTTCCACCCTCATGCTTCCAATACAAGCTCTGTAGCACTCGTAGATCCTTTTCATAAGTAAGGCTTATGATAAACTGACTAATGAGAGATATTTTTAAACAAACGTATAAACATAAAGATATGCTTGGTCAATGATATGCTGGTACTCATAGAAATAACAGCAAAATTTATACAATACAATGGCTAAATTAAAACAATAGCAATGCCGGATCCAATAGTGTAAAAACAAGGGCCACCAGGGCATACAATGTATGATGAATCGATCTAAAGATTACCAGCTTGTAAACCAAATTATAAGATAGGCCTATGAATGTATAATGGGAAAATAAAATCGAACATAAATATAGATATACAATATTTCTGCTGAATTGTAATCTAACTTAATTAAATAATGCATTAATACCTGTACCCGTAGGTGCCATGGTCCCAAGTGTAAAATATAT